GGAGTTTGGATGTGTCTATGGAGCTTCCATGACCTTTCCTTGTACAGGTTGTGCTGGTTTCCCCTGTATTGTGTACTGTCTCACCCTTGAAGGGCCTTTTGAGCCAGGATAAGGAATTTGGATTGTATTCTAAGAGTGAGTTCATGGCATTAGAGTTCTGGGAAAGCTCTTTGAGATTCCAGGTTTCCTTACTGTTTCCTTCCTCTGGATACCCAGGAAGCCGACTTAACCTAATTTCCTTCTTCCTCATAGACAATTGGAAAATATATAAAAGTAAAAAGTAGAAAAAAAATACTCTTAATTCCACTTACCAGAGACAGCTACTTGAAAGAATTTAATATATTTTTCTTCATTATTTTATTTTCGTCATTTTATATTGATGAAATCATTAGCTACACAATTTATTGTTTTCATTTGTGCCTTTGCTTTCTATTGTTGTGAAACAAATTACTACACACTTAGCAGTTTAAAAATATCAGGTTTATTAACTCACAATTTCCATGGGTCAGGAGTCCAGGTACTGGTTACTTGGGTCCTCTGCTCAGGGTGAAATCAAACTGTTGCCCAGGGCTGCCATTTCACCTGAGGGTCAGGGTTCTTGTTGTCCAGGGCTTCCATTTCACCTGAGGGTCAGGGTTCTCTTCCAAGCCCACTGGTTGTTGGAAGAATTCAGTTCCTTGCAGTTGTAGTACTGAGTTCTCCACTTACTTGCTGGCTGTCAGGCAAGGCCGTTCTCAGCTCCAAGAGGCCACCCACTGTTCCCTGCCACACGGCCCTTTTCTCAACATGGCAGTTTGCTTCTTTAAGGCCAGCAGAGAATCTCTCTCACTTCAAATCTTTCTGATTTCAGGAAGGGCCCAATCCGTTTTAAGGGCCCACCCTGGATAAGCTTCCTTTTGGTTAACTCAAAGTCAGCTGACTGGGGACTTTAATGGCATCTTGAGAATCTCTTGCCCTTTGTCATATAACATATCCTAACTATGGGAATTAAATCCATCATATTCACAGTCCCACCCACTGTTGTACATAGGGTCGCTATGAGTCGGAACTGACTCAGCGGCACATAACAACAACAACCCACACTCAAGGGGAGGGGATTATGCAAGGTGTGGACATCAGAGTGCCAGAATATTGTGAGCCATCTTAGAATTCTGCCTACCATAGTTTGTATGATATAGGTCTTTTCCTGTGCTATTATAAACTCTTAATAAATATTTTATAGCCATATAATGTTTATTGAATAGATATCCATAATTTAGCTATTACTGTTCATCTAGATTACTTACAGTGTCTTACCTGTGATGAAAAATGTAGCAAGCAAAATCTCTATGCATAAAGCTTTTCTGTATTTTAGATAATTCCATTAGGATAAATTTCCAGTAGTGCACTAACGGGCCATTTATTGACTGTCCTAGAAAACAATTGACCCCTGTACCCTCTGGAACCCAAACTCTTAACTCCAGTCCCCCTTTACATCTGTCTCAACCATAATTTTTAGAGTAGTGCACAAGACTGAAGTACTAGCTTCAGCAGTATCCTACATCATATCCATTACATCAAGCCTTCCTACCTATATATGCCACCCCCTTGGATTGTAAGTAGATCCAGGTTTCCTTTGGACCCAGGGACTGGAGAATTGGGTACCATTCCTCTTCACCTTGAGTAGTATGTAACCTGAGACTTTCCTAGAACTCTGAACTTCATGACAGGGGAAAGTTTATTGGTATGTAACTGAAGATTTTCAAAAATCATCTGGAACTCTGTGATGTTCTAAGTTCATATGCATTTTCTGCAATGGAAATTGACTTATAAATTTTCTATCCTAGTGATGGATTTGGGTAGATTCAACCAAGTATTGGTCAGTATATTCTTTCTGTTTCCCACTCACAACCTGGGAAAGTCCATCAGTGGATTTTATGACAACTTCCGAACCCAGAGATACTGCACCACCAGTTCTTCTGAAGATTGTAATATGAATAGTGAGTACCATGG